CTAGAAAGTTTTCGAACAAACCATGACAAACCGATTCGGCGGTCCTCAATCATACAACAATGCTGCATCAATATACTGTTTCCCTTGATGGTTGAATCTCACAAAAGAATCGAACGGCTTATGTTTCTTTGTTTAACTTGTAAGTTGTATCAAAGTGACAACATCACCAAATTGAGGCATAATCCTATGTCATTATGTGCATCGGCCCAAACCATATTGGTTATTTTGGCTCCTCATTATCTAATTGAAGAAAAAAACAGATATGAAGACTGAAGGATTCTGCAAAGATTCTTTCTTAAAAGTATTGCAACACATTGCCTACTTCTCCAATATGCTAAATTTGTTGTCTTTTGGTTCTCAAATAATTTTTAGAAACCTAATCTTGTAAAACCAAGGACATTGCCTTCCAACAGCTTCCCTACCCATAGTTCAAAAGACTGGCCCAACACGAAGACCAGATTGTGCCTGCTAATCTACACTGAATTGCTTGGGTAGCGGATATGCTTTCCTTTGTGACGGCAACATGTGGGCACACGTCGGTGATCAAAGATTCATGGTTGTGTTTTTCTTTGAAAATCAGTCACAACATAGTTTCTCCAGTACCCTCATGTATTTTAATATAAAAGTCGAGCCTCCACCCAGTCTAGTTTCCATGCTTAAGAGTTTTCTGACAATCGGGTCTCGCTTGTCAACCTATTCGAAATCCTCACTTGTTGAAACCAAGAAGTCCTATGAAAATTGATTATAGTGAACTTGTTCCTCTTACGAATAATTCTTCCTTATGCTAAACCCCATCTTCCTCCATATATGTTTAAAAATTCATACTCGCCAACATTGTTTCAGAATCCAAATATCATTCCAATTTTGGCTTCCAATCACAGAGTCATTCTCAGGTTCCATATCGATATCAAATGCACTGAAAACCCAATATAAATTAAAATCTTAATTACATGATATTGAGCTTCTTAATAAGATTGCAAGGTTGCTTAAGGGTTGTAGTGCTATGAAAATGAATTGAAAATTGGTTTATAGATAACATTTATCTGGTTTATAGATAGGACTCATATGTCATGATAGGAAAATTACTCGAATTAAGGAATTGAATTATTCATGACTGGCTTATCTCGGTATTCATGTATCCTGTAATATTATCGATTATCTAGGTATATCAGTTATTCATGAAGGAATATCATAAGGAATAGAATTATTGGTTTTGATCTGGTTTACTAGATAGGACCATATGTCATATAATGGAAAATTACTGGAAATTAAGGAAAATTACTGTAAGTATAGATAGAAAATAGCAGTTAATAACACAAGCATTTCAGTTATTCATACTAGCAGTCTCCCCTTGGGTTTTCAACCAAATTATTCATGAGATTCAATATAACATATCTAGACATCAGTTAATATATTACATGCCCATCGAGACTGCCATGTCTACAAAGGCCCATAACATTCACCTGTTCTATCCAATTACAGTGTGGTTCTATTAACGGCAGCTCATGGGTCAAACCAGTAGTTTTAAGGTTAAAAGAAATAGCAGTTTATGTAAAGGTTTCCAGTAATTTTCCATAAATGGGCCTATCAATTTTTAACGGTTCATGTTCTGAAATTGATAGACCAGTCCTATCAATTTTAAGGTTCATGGTCTATCAATACGAGTTTATGTAAGGTTCCAGTAATTTTCATAAACTGGTCTATCATAACCTAGAAATATGCAGTTTACATAAAACTGGTCCTATCATTTTAAGCTTCTTTACAAATTACAGTGTGTTATAATTAACGTGGCAAGTCTCATGAGCACCAGAATTTATAGTGTGTTAACCAAATAGCAGAACCTTAAGAGAAAAAGTTCAAAGAAATCATAAAGAGGTAAACACACCAATTAATCAAAAAATCGTATTCCCGACTTTCTTACACCTTACTGTCGACTGTAAATTTTGTAAGAGGCTTGCAAAAGTCGAAAGCTTTGGCTGGAAGAAGAGTACTCTGTAAGGCTGGAGCGGTGGCGTTCGCCGTCGGTTAGGATGGGTTTCGACGGAGCCAAGGTGCTAGTGAGAGTGAGAGTGGTGTGTGAGAGTGAAATGTGAATCCCTCATCTGATGCTGTTGTTGTTGTTTGTTGGGCGGGAAGTAGAAAAACCACAACATTTTTGTTTTTTTTTTTATTTATAATATCAGCCGTTGGATCGACCAAGCGGCTTCATCTGAGCCGTTGCCCGCACACTCAAGGACTTCCCTCAAGGAGAGGATCCGACTCATAGAATTCGCCTTAGTGATAACTTTTTCCCTGTGTGTCAGGGTTGGCTAGTTTTCAGAGTTGGGGCTGAAGTGACTTCATCAATTGGTTCCTCGTGCTTAGCTCGATTGTTATGATCATAGATGGTTTTAGATGCACGTGCCTCTTGCTAGCTCGGTGTGGATATGGCTGATTGATTTGACTGTAGTTGAGGCCAGAGGCTAGCATGGTCCCTTGAACCTCGCTTTAGTAGGCTGGGTTGGTGAGCGCTGGGGAAAGCTGTGAATTAACCCAATCCATAATATATTTTATTTATGCCATATGATTATGTGTTTGAATATGATTTATACGTTAATTAGTGTTGAGTTATAATTGGTGATTTTATGTTTATTAATTAAGGAGATTTGGATCTAATTGTTGTTACTCTAAGGTGATTTGAGATTTATGAGATTTTGGAGTCTGATTCGTATTTGATTTTTAATAAGATATTATTTTGGAATTCGAAATTGAAAGCCTAAATGTCTCAAAGAGAGTACAATTGGGAATTGAATTTATTTTAATTTCGAGTATCGGACGTATGAGAGTTTAATTAAATATTCATTCAGTTTAGTGAAACTGAGATTTTATTAATTGCGGTCCGCATTAGAGTTGATTTAAGTCATGAGGATTGGAGAATTGTGGTCTATTCATGGAATAAAATTTATTATGAGGTGTCCCATATGAATATGTAACTTATTGACAGAAATTTTGAGGTCTAATCAGAAAGTTGATCGGCCTTGAATAATTCAGAAACTCAAATATTGAGGTTGGAAATAAGTTAATTTCAATATTCGGAGCCTTTTAGGGATTTGATTCAAAATTTGATTCAGATTGGTAAACTAAAATAAAATTAATTGGGCCTTAATGGAAGTCAAATTAGACTATTAAAATTATGAAGATGTGATTAGCTATGATTAATTAATTATGTATAGTCAAGATTTATTAAGAATTAAGTGTTGCCCTAATAAATTAATCATACGCACAAATTGCATATGGAGGATTGCTAGAATTGTGAGAGTGTGTGGGTGTGCAGAGAAACCTGTGTGGGTGTGCGAAGAAATTCAAATATGTTGTATATTGTTTGTTGTGCTGGTCAGCTTGGAGTGGTGCACGTGTGCTTGTGTGGTATTAAGAATGTTTGTGCGTGTGCGGTGGTGAGCTCATGAATACTTCAATTTGGCCCAAAACATTTGTTGACATTTCAACCACATTTATTGCGTATGATGGCTCAAATCTCACATATGGTTGTACTAACATGGTACCAACACCAAATTACAACACAATGGAGTTCAATTTCACGAATTGATCACATGTATGCCCCAAATTAACTCAAACTCATGCATTCAAGGTTCCCATTTTTAATAAACAACATGCATGCCCATTTTGACTAAGGCCAATAGCGGGGATGATGCAATTAGTGCTCATTCCCATGAAACTCAACAAAAACATGCTTGCATGTGGGATTACACTTCCAATCTTTCATAATTTACAATTTACATGCTAGATTTTGTGATTCCATAGGTATTCTTTGCATGCATGCACATATCATGCTTTGATTCCAACAAAACCAACTCAACTCATGCTCTTGGTTACAAACAAACCTTGAACACACAAGATTACACATTAAACTCATGAATTCAAGAATCAATTGCTTACCTAGAAGCCCAATCTATGGTTAATTCTTGAACTAGACTTCAAATATCCAAGCTTGAGTCAAAATTGCACAAGTCTCTCCCTTCTATCTCTATGGTCAGCTCCCTCTCTCTCTCAAGGCACCAAAATCAGATTTTTTTTGAGTTCAAAAAAGGCAATGAGAGTGTATATAGCCTCACA